ATTAAAACCTACATCATTATTTCCTAATCCTAGAAGAGTAATGATGGACCTTCAACCAAAAATGACTAAAATATTACAAAATAACGTTAAATCTGTTATGACTGTTTCACCATTTAAACAGTATCCTGCATTGGCCGCAGAGTCTAAACCATTACCTTTACCATTGAAATTTCGAATTTTGAATACATTTTTTAAAGTTATGGAAACCGTGTTATCTGTGACATTTTCAAGAAAAGAAAAAATAACATTTTATAAACTCAAACAAAATATTCAGCATATAACTAGAAAGTAATAAACATTGTTCAACTATATGAACCTAACTTAGCTGGACTGATATCCTACATTCTAATGTCTTATAAATCAATAAAGGTATATAATAATCTTTTGTTAGAAAATATAATATGCAATTTGTCATGATATTATTTATTTTAAATTCTAAAATTAACTCTCTAGGTTTATATTCAAAAAAAAAATTTTTTTTGTAACTATACTTTTATAACAACGTCAAATATATTGGTTTATGGGATCAGTCCAGTTATTTTAAAWTATTGTCAGTAAGTACTAAGTAACTAATAATTAATTTAATATTATTTTCAAGGAATTTTACTGAATTACATTTGGCTCAAATTAAAACCATTGTTCCTGACTTCTTCCAGTTTTCCTTAGTGAAATCAACAACAGATAAATTTAGTATTGATTTAATAATAGCTCCAATTTATGGTAGTTACTAAAGTAGTTAATTATTTATTATGTATACCTTATGAATATTGAACAACTTTTATATTGATTAGGTTTAGCACACGAAAATAACATTGACGTATTACAACTGAAAATTCAGAGAAAAAATAYATTTTTTAATGCGTTAATAGACATTATGAAAGTTCACCATGCAGTAAGTAAAATATTAAATTAATATGGTAATAGTTTAATTTAATAAAACTGTTTTTCATTTTTAAAGGAATATTTGAATAAATTAAATCCTCCTATCTTACTTGATAAAGATAAAATTATCAGATGGCATCCTGAGTTTGATGTTGAATCTGTGCCAAACATTAATCCATCACCATTGCCCAAGATTGAAATTGACAAATCAAAAATACCAACTGCAAAAGATATGTTGGGTAATAAAAAAAATAAATATTGTGTACCTCTTTTTATTGAATTCAACTATTTTTTTAGACAAAATGCATGCATTGTTTATTTACAATCATTGTTTAAATAATCAAACCCCTACTGCAAAAATGAATGAAAACCATAACAATTTAATTGAAATAAAATTACCTACAGATGATGAAAAAAAAACTTTAAAGAGGCCACTTATTGGTGTTCCTAAACTAATTTTAATTAAGGTAAAGTGATTTTTTTTTTTATCTACATTAAATATGTCAAAGTATTTATGTTTAGATCCAATCCAAAAAAATTGAAAAACAAAGTGGATTAATGATGAAATCAGTTAGTCAATTAAATAAAGATAAAATGATGATCAGATTACCAGACATTGCTCGGAAAATGCGTACTTACTTTGTACAACTTCAAAGAAATGTTATGCCACTGGAAAAAGTTATTGATCAATTAAAGCAAAGTTATCCTGAAGCTATGACAGATTGTAATTAAATTTTATTTATTTATTAATATTTTATATAGTTRTTCATTTTTATTCCAGATAATTGGGAAGCTCACTTAATTCTTCTTCAAGAACAAGTACCCCATTGGGTTGTATCAAAAATAATAGATGGAACTAAGTACATCCGAGTTGATAAAATAAT